TTTCATGACCACCAAATTAGATCCATTTCTTTAGGCTCAACACACTGCGTGGATGGCCAGGAACTCTTGAATTTATCTGCACACACAGTTCATAAACAATTTTGTTGTCTATGTTGCTTTTATTAATGGTGGTCATGCGGCCGGGGCAGAGATTGGGCATCGTGGAGCAGCAAACTGCACCAAGCAGTGAGAAGCGTTTACAGAACGGCGCCAAACTCAAAGCTAATGAATGACCATGAACAAGTCACTCCGGCAAGGTTTGTCTGTCGCCAATTCCCTTGCGGTCTGATTAGCCAATTAGAAGGCCATTTTGACCATCAGAAAAACTGTATTTCAAGTTTCTTTAGGAGTATGGTCATTTTCAGGAATGAAAACAATGCTAGACTGGAAAATATTTTGCGAGTCCAATGACTGAGTCTGAGACGAGTCTGAGTCAAATGCCAAGGAGTGTGAGTTCAGTCAGAGAGACAAAAAAAAAAAAAAAAAAAAGTGTCTTGAGAGTACCACAAGCCCTGCATCTAAGTCCCCTTGGGCTTGAATTGCAAATGTCACAGCTCACCTGGTTGCTGTGTTTGGTCACATGACGTTCGCAATGCGAGCCCGAGGGCACTCTGATATCAATTTGGGTCGACAGCAGACAACAGGAAAGGACAAAATGGCAGCGCCCTCAGTTGGATAAAAAAAAGGACGGATTCATCTGCCGAATTCTTATTCCACAAACATAATGCTAATCAGAATACCGGTGGGCCGCACACAAATATTTGACCTTGAGTACTACTTTCAGAATGCCCCCTCCATCGCCCCCGTAGCTTAATGCTAACGTCCAACGGAAATTACACTTGCCATGCTAACGGTTAGCATCGACACTTGCGGATTTGCCTTTTTAGCAACAGATATTTGAACGTAAACTAAACACTTCGGACAGATACTGTAAAGTTCTCAAAGGTATGTGTCGTTTACCTCCCACAAAAAAACCCAACTAATATTACAGGAAGTTACTGAGTGGTCGTAGAAGAAGCCGATGTTTCTTCGTTTGGATGAGTGCACGACACAGTAGCGGGCAGCAGGACAACGAGCATCACATCATGACGCACAAACTTTTGAACGCTTTTAATTCTGAATGTGAATAATCTTGAGTCGAGACACCGAGCGTTTGGTTTTTGCTAGCCGCCGCCACCGATGCTAACGTAGGCGCACACACCCACTCACCGGGGGTCCAGCAGTATTTCCGTGCTGTCCTCCTTGACGATGCCCGTGCGGAAGTTGAGGACCAGGTCGACCATGAAGAGCGTGTCGGACACCACGTTGAAGATGATCCACGATGGCGTGTTCTCGTCACGAAAGAAGGTGATGCCCACCGGCAGCACGATCAAGTTGCCCATCATCAGCACCAGCATTAACAGGTCCCAGTAGAACCTGCACGGGGACCAACGGGGGCTTTTTGAAACACCGCTCGTGAAAAAAAACAAGAACTGGGGCAACTAAGTGAACTGTGGAGGACAAACAGAGCTTATCGGTAACCTTGAGACGCCTCATCAATCTGGATTGTGGGAGTGACGCAAAGGCCCGCTTCCAGAACGACGGGGACGCGACTATGTTGAACGTGATTAACGGATGACACACCAGACGACCCAATCATGTGCAGGCCACTTGTGTTCTCCTTCTGCCTCTCTCCCAAACGGTCGCTCTCTCATCCATCACCCGAATCCATATCAATGACTCGTCTCACACACACACACACACACACACACACACACACACACACACACACACGCGCACACACACACACACACACACACACACACACTCTGGCTTTCAGAGAGTGCACTCAAGTGCTGTGGTCGATCGCTATTGAGCTCTAATTTGGTAACAAAACCTCATGGTGGGACCACTAGACTGATGAAGATGAAGTATGACTCATCACACACACACACACACACACACACACACACACACACACACACACACACACACACACACACACACACACACACACACATTTTCCATCATTCGCCCGACAGGATGAATAAATAACAAACGACATCAGAATAAAACAAAAAAATGGGGGAAAAAACCCAAACAAAAAAAATAACAAAAACGGTTTGCTTCATTTTCACACCTACTATGATCGAAGAATCAGTAAAGTGCAATTATGCATCATCAAACAAACAAGATCATGTTAACAGTGGATTCGATATTGGGGTCAAACGTATCTGGTTCATGACAATGGCCGTGAGAGGCCTACCTGACTATAGCTGAAATCTGACATAGATATTAACTCTACATGTTTGTGACATTCCTGCCCTGATGTTTTTTGTTTGTTTTTTTTTTTTTTTTTTTTTACATTAAAGACTGGTAAAAATAAAATACAAAGTAATGGTTACATTCATAGATTTTCGAAGTAGGCTTTCAAGCTGTGACAGAACCAAGAAAAAAAAAGTGACAGGTTATATGAGGTTCAACCCGTTTGTTAAATAAATGTGTCTACTTTCTATGTGTGTCTGATATCGTGAAAAAGAAAAAAAAAAGACAAAACAAGGAGCCGGTTACAGTTTCAAGTTTGCTTGTTTTGTTTTTTTCCTGGACCTATAAAACATGTCTGGAGATATCAACTTTAATCTGAGATATGGGTGCTGTGTCAGTGCTGTTTTTTTTTTCTGGGCCAACATGACAAGAATAAACTCCTTTCCAAATCACGACACGAAAAAACACAACTTTTAGAAACATGAGGCGAGTAAACTTAAGTGCTCTACTTTGGACCACATGCAATGTTCTGAATGTTACGTACGAGTCACCTCGTACAAGTAAATGTGCGCAATGACATGTTTCTTTCTTTTTTTTTTTTTTTTTTCATTTTTACATGTCAAGACGCTCTCGTATTTGCGACTGCTGCTACCACGGAGCCGGCACACTTTGGCTGTCGATTTATATTTATTTTGGCGGGAGGCGAGGGACACCCTGGACTGGTCGCCAGTCAATCACTGGGCACACTTATCTATGAATAATTTTGTGTCTTCAATTAAATTTATAATCATATTTGTGGGATGTGGGAGGAAGCACAAGTACCCGACATGCAGTGGCTGAGAAGGGGGTGGGGGGAGGGGGGCGTGGCCTCTCCGCTAGCTCCGCCAGTGCCCACAAGGGACAGATGGAGCCCAGATTTGAAATTTGAAACCCAAATGTCAGAACTTCAAGGCAGACTTTCTAACCACGAGTCCAACATTGCTTCTTTGTCCCCAATTTTCATGACGCCTTTGCAATGCTTTTCAATTCCATTTCAAACGGAAACTGAAGCGATTCAAAAACTGAGCCAACAAAATTCAATCCAAAATGTTAATTTTTCATCAGGACACCACAGACACAAACATGACACCAATTTCTTTTCAGCAAAGTACAACCAAAGTAATAAAAAAGCCAAAGCCAGTGGACTGAAAATACCTCTGGAAAAAACAAAAAAAGCAATTTCTTTCAGGCAGCTGCTCGCTTTGTTCTGAAATTAATTGATGCAAATAAATGCAATAAAGTCCCGGCCTTGGACGCCACCGAAACAAGTAATAAGACTCGCTTGGTTGGCCATGGACAAAAGTAGTGAGATGTCGCCGCAGTCTTACTGCCTTAGATCCGAGTCAGCTCACTTCACATTCAGGATATTGTCTCTTTTAGAAAGTGTCAACCAAAAGCCAAAGAAAAAGCAAAACGCATCTTGCATTATAGTGACACAAAATGACGCAAAGTCACTGAGAAGTTTCTATTCAGCTAATTGACATAATAATCACCTGGGAACTGAGTATCTCTGCCTCATGACCTGGAAGTGATATCGGCTGAGGATTCAGAGCCACTTTCAAGCAACGGCCACGGTCCACCGAAAAAAATAAAGTGGGAGGCACACTTACCAACTGCTATCATTCTTACACCGTTCATCTGATTGAGATGCAGAAAGCTGTAAGTCTGCAATTCTTGTTGCTCTCATTTCAAATCCAGTGTGGTGGTGATTGGAGCCAAAAAGATGACAATTGTGTCCATGTCAAAAACCACGTCACAGAAATATTAAGACATCAGGGAACTGTTTTGAAAAAAGTTTCCCTTCAAGCCTTGAGTGACGTGGATGGCGTTGCGGATTATGTTTGACTTCCTCCTGGCACGACTGACTTTTCCTTCCATCTTCTGCCAGTCATTATGTATTCTTCGACGAGCAGCAGTGCGACTTAATGAGGTGAGCGCTTATCAGCAAACTCCTTTCATGCAGAAGAAATATGTATAGATTAGTTTTAGTAGACAAAGCACAAGCTCCTATGTTCATGGTCAGCGTAGGGCAGGAGTGCTCAACCTTTTTTGATCGTAGATCTACTTTTTGAGACAAACTTTCCGCGATCGACCGTTCGCGTACGTACAAGCATAAACAGCAGCACGCACACACAAACACGCACGCACGCCATGATGAGCAACAGCCGAATCGGCCCTTAACGTGAAAAAAAAAAAAAAAAAAAAAGTAGATACAAGCGTTTGTGAGTTTTGTGAAAAGGAAATCACGACCCTACCTTAGTGGGAGACCAGACACGGAAGCACGGAACACATTTTTGCAGCGTGTTAACTAGCTCACGTGTACCGTTTTAAAAACGCTTTTTCCTGACGCTTCATATTCCCATTCTTTCCCAGTGCCATCGGTGGATTGCAGATGAAACAAACAAGAACAATTCAAAACAAAAAAAAGATAAGGAAACAGCTGTGGTCGCAAACTGCAATTGCAGACGGCTGACCGCTAACAACTTCTGGTGATGGAGGTCACGTGCCACCGTAGGTGAAAGCTGACCTGCTTTTTTATTTTATTTTTTGTTTTCAATATATTTTTTTTTTTTTGTGAAAGTGAAACTGACAGGATGCTTAGCATGTAGTGTACACTAACACAAAAATATTAAACATAGAGAGGCGCACAAATCTCACCCCACCCATTCTCCACCCCCCCCCCCGCGATCGATTTGCGACCAATCCGCGGGCTATCACGATCGACCGGTTCTTCACTGAAGAACAATTAACGGCGAAGGGGGCTTGAGACTTAATTGGTCTTTACTCTCGCTTCAGATTACAGGTACTTAACTGAAAAGTTATATGAGTGAATTATGCATAATGCACACTCGAGGTGCATAATTTACAACGGCATACATAATTAACCAATCTGCAATTGTAATCCTCCGCAGGCGGCAATTGGAATTACGAACCTCACTGAGGCAGGTATGCGTGGATTTCAACAGACTGCGATTACCTGCACACACGCTCCTAACCCGACGTCTGCGCGGACTTCAATTTGACAGACACACAATACAAGTGCATGTGTGTGTGTGTATGTGTGTGAGATGAAACAAAAAGTGGCCCAGGAGGATCCCTGGAGATCAAGTCATCCATTGTTGCCTCAGTGTGTCTGGCCCTTGGCATTTTAAGAAAGGCGATGTCACACTGGCATGTCCACGAATGATTGCACTGTCAGCGTACACCAGACAGTGGAACTTCCAGAGTGGAACACAATCCCATCCGTGACACTGCTCAACTTCCAATTGGTTCAGATGTCAGAAAAAAATGGAAAGCATTTCAATTTATATTTGTCCAAGCTATCGCCATCATAAAAATCATCAAACACCTCCACCATTTGTTCACAAGCAACAAGCTAGCTAGCGTGAGAAGCTAGCATAGCAATCTATATCTTCACACGGTCCAACATCACAAAAAGCCCTCTGTGCACAAAAAGATGAGTCAGACCATCTCTGGCTGAGAGTCGTGTCAAATTAATGGTAGTGGGACAAAAAACAGGAAGGAACTTAAATAAAATCAGGAAAAACACTCAAACGGCTTCAACAAAAACAACACGAAGATTTAATTCACATGAAAGGCAGATTTTTTTTTATTTATATATCTATTTTTTACCAAAAAGACAGCCGGGTGCCGTATTTGTTTGTACTTTTGAGGGTTGGAATCTTAGTGCTTCCGTAAGATGCGGAGTTTCTATGTTCTTCTCGAATTCTAAAAACATGTCATGCTAGGTTCATTAAACCCTCTCAGTCTGGGCTGTCACGCTCAACTGGTGTGGAGGCCACTGGAGATCAAGGCAGCATATGTCAGAGCCGCAACAAGTACAGTACTCCACAAAAAAGGGGTTCACGTAATCCCCCACCAAAATTACAACTAATCCAATCTTCTCAGTCTTTATTAAAAACATCTCAGAACGGTGAACAAGATTGGTGACCTGGCCCGCTCTCTCGCCGTCTCTCCGCTACTTTGCATCCTCCTCAGCATGTCTCGTTGAGTCATGACGTCGGATTTCTCGAGCCCCCGCAACTTTTTACGTATTCAAGTCACATCAAGGCTGGGACTGGGTGACAGGATGTTGTTTCCTTCTGCTTCGTGTCACTTCAGAATTATCTTTCATCGAAAGCTGTCGTAACCCACAGCCCATAAGAGATTAAAAAAAAAAAAAAAAAAAAGGCACACACACAAAACGCCCAGGGCAACAACACAGCAAAAAAAGGTGGCGGCTGCACTAATATTAAACTTTGATGTCAAGGAGGCTGCAAAATATCATCCTGGGGGTTATAAATGGGGCCTGGGCCGTGAGTTTGTGACCCTTACTGTAACTTGGCTATCAAGGCTGAACCACCCGAGTCGACTCGACACGTTTTTGGGGTTTTTTTTGTCTTGACATGGACTTGTCTCGGATTCGGGCATTGGTCTCGCAAAATACTTTTGATCAACTTGAGTGAGTCCAACTATGTCATTATTCCTGAAAATGAAGAAATTAGAAATAAAATTTGGGATGTTGGTGAAACGGATTGTTTGCAGGTTCCCGTGCAGACAGCTTTAGAAAAGTGTGGCTTGTTTTGATGAGTGTGAGAGAACCTCCCCGAGGGGGAACCCGAAATTAACAGCCTCAGCCTCGCCAGTCATTTTCTCCTCAGGCGCCATTGACTCACGGGAACAGCCACCTCTTCATGCCGGCATGAAGTCGCTGACACGGACCGCTGTGTGTTTGCATTACTCCCCGCACGAAAACATTGACAAGCAAAAGTGACAGTCACTGGTGCGCGGGGCCCAACCGTCATCATTTGAATCACAACCTTCACAGAAATTAGTTTGATTTTGGCGGGGAGGAATTTCGGCGTGATTTGACTGTCGCTGCGGTTGTGTTTTTTTCGCCTGTAATGGGCAGCATTTTTCACAGGCCCGTTTTGTTTAGCGGAGATGTCGGCGCGGTCGGACAATCTGAGTTGGTGGGGCTGGATGGATGACCGCTGGAGCCGAGGATGAGGAGAGAGGAGCGCGTATGCCTATTTGGAACTGAGAGTCGCCGCTTGGAATTGAAGCGGATTTACATGGTGAGGGGGGCAGGAGAAGTGAACCAATCTCTTTTTTCATCAATGGACGCTACAGCTCCACTTTCAAACTGAGCTTGTAGCAGACGTGTGCACATTTTGAGCATGACGTCTCTGACCCACTGGTGAAAGGACACTTTCATTTGTTCCTCTTTCATCCTGAACCACTTGAAACGACAAGGCGTATCGTGGAATATGGTTATGATTGAATGACTATCCATGTCCTATGTGTTTTTTTTTTTTTTACATTTCTGTATTTTGTTATTTTATGTTATTTATATATTCTGTAAGGAGCTGCAGCTGCTGGTGAAAGCGCGATAAAAAATAAATATGCATTGCATTGTATTGTCCATCCATCCATCCGTTTTCCGATCCACTTATCCTCAAAAGCATCGCGGGGGGTGCTGAAGCCTATCCCAGCCGTCGTCGGGCAGCAGGCGTGGGACACCCTGAACCGGTTGCCAGTCAATCGCAGGGCACACAGAGACAAACAACCATCCGCGCTCACACTCACATCTAGGGACAATTTTGAGTGTTCAATCAGTCTGCCATGCATGTTTTTGGAATGTTGGAGGAAACCGGAGTACCCGGAGAAAACCCACGCAGGCCCCACCAACCCACCGGGCCGCGCATTGTATTGTATTGGACTGAATTGGGGGTGGGAACTTGGACCTGCAGTGTGAACCTGGCCACAGTAAGAAAACAATTGCTCGCGTTGTGGATGTCTTGTCTGAATGCCCCAACCTCATTTGCACGTCTGCGTCCGAGTGGCAGCAGACTCCACCGGAGTATTTTTACTCTGACAAGTGGAGACGTGGCTGTCTAAATTGGACGACTTGTCACCTGCACTTTGTCTACGACGGAAACAACCCTCACTCTGCCTGACGCGCCCCCTCCCCCCTCCCTCCGTCCTCT